AAAGATACATGATCACCAAAGCGTGTATCATGCATGGTACATAACTGACCAATGCAGTCATTTGATTTTTTACACTTGACTTCAGTCAATTCCCCACCACCGTGACATAGTTTCTGCCTGTGTTTTCTATCACATCATCGTAAATATTCATGCCCAATATATTCATTGTTTATATAAAATGACAGAAATTTGACACTGGTGTTTGTTCTGATAACGATTTCAGGTGTTTTTTGAGATTTCAACCTTTCATTGTTCAATTGCGAGTCAAACTCTTGAATGTTGATTTTTTTGGTTACAAATTATAAATTTACAAATAAAAAGAAATTTTTTTCATTATTATTTCTTTATGATATGGTAAATAATAAATATTGAATTGTAGTTGGTTCACATAATTATATAAACTTGTGAATATAAAAATCATTCTTATAAATAAACAATCTAATAAAGAAACATAAAACCTCTTCTTGGCCCTGAACAAGATGCAAAATGATTGAAATTAAAACTTTAAAAATTAAAAAAAATCTATTTTTCTTAAAATATTTCCTAAGATTTATTTAATCTTACACAAACCAAAATGAATGACAGCTTAAAAGAGTGTATTATGTCACTTTTTCAGGTGAAGTATGTTTTGCATACCTTCAAAACCATTACTCAAAATCCTGCTATGTTTCTGCCTCGTGCAATATATTCAATAATGGAACTTGACCATTAAAAGGGGTCATGAATGGTGTCATCAAAGGACATGTCTTTCATATAAGGTAAAATAATACAATTAAAGGAAAAGACAAGTACATGCTGTCAGATGGCAATATGGATTTAGCAAGGGAATACATACATAAATGATAAAGTGCCATTCATGCAGTCCCCCACCCACAAAACCAACCCTGATAAGAGCCAATGTAAGATAATCAAATCCAGAGGAATGATTTCTTTGGTTTCTATAAAAAACAAGACGAGTGAAAAGAATTCATGAAATCATTCGTGTTTCATTTATGAAGAAAAACAGACATTAGATCCAACAAAATAATTTCCTATCGTTACGATTTATGTTTAGATTAATATCTTCATCTTTAGATTAATATCTTCATCTTTAGATTAATATCGTCATCTTTAGATTAATATCGTCATCTTTAGATTAATATCGTCATCTTTAGATTAATATCTTCATCTTTGGTTTTGTTATGACAACTCTTTGGCTGTTGTTCTCTACAGTGTTCTTCAAGTTCAAGTAGCTGTTGATCATAGTAACCTTCAAACTGAACCCTTTAATTAATCTACAATAAATATAAGATAAAATAGGTCAGTCAGTTATGTGCCATGCACCATACACTTTCTGTGGTAGACCAGTTGCCATCCAAGTCAACTGCTAGAAGTGAGTTAAGTGAATTCCACAATGAATATCCTTGCTTGAACCGGCATCTAATGCTCTGGACTGAGCAGCTTAGGGATAGTAGTCATAACACCTGGAGGCACAGTCCTATGGGTAAAGAGAAACTTGGATGAGCTCCACCACAGAATATGTGATCGAGAGGCACTATTTCAAGTCTAATTCATTACCCCTTTGTCACCGAGGTCCGGTGGTATGTCGTTTGGTTCCTATCGTAACTGTTCCAGTTTCAATTCTCAGTAGTGGATGCACACTGCTGATGAGTCCCAAATATAGTATGAAACGGCCGTCCAGTGCTTTCTGCATTCTGCTGAGGTTTCTTCTAGACTCGATGAATTACTTATATAATTAGGAGGATTTGAAATAATCATGTGTGTGTGTGTGTGTGTGTGTGAGTGTGTGTGAGAGAGAGAGAGAAAGAAAACACAAGCAGAAAGTCTTAAAAAAAAAAAAAAATCAGTATATACATAATAGCTGTCTGCAGTATATTTACCTAAAGTTAATCCATTCTGTAGAATGGATTAACTACAGAATGCAGAATGGACATCCTAAGTCAGTTAGTTATGTGCCATGCATGATATACGCTTGGGCGATCATGCATCTTTCGATACATGACTGACGAAGAAGATTTTTTCCTGCATTAGTTGCCATTTCCTTCTGCAGTAGACCACTTGGTACCCAAGGCTATAGCACCTGGTCTGTCCTGCTATTTACCCATAGCTGGGGAGAGAAGAGGAGGATTCATACCTTTCCCGAGGGTATTAGAACCTAAGTGAATATAATGGATTTGACTGGAATTTAAATCCATTACATTCACTTACGTACTAATACCCTTGGGAAAGGTATAAATCCATTTCTTCTCCCTCCAGCTATGGAATTCATCCTAAGTATCTCTATAGAATTGAGAAAACCAGCGACTTGCATTCTTACTTTCTTATCAAGGGCAGAAAGCACAGAAATGCATTTGATTGGAGGATTTGCTGGCTGTGTATATAAGAAAACCTCAAAGTCAGATATGGGGTTCCAGTTCCTTCTAAAGTCTACTTCCACACTATACTTTTAATGTCTCCAAGTGAACTTTGAAATGTCATTCACTAATTAAATCTTGACTTCTTCAAGTCTAGAGATAGCTGTTATCTTTCCTGTATAGCCCCAAGAATTTCACTTCTTGTCCTTTCTTATGCTAATGCCACACAGTAGCCTTCTACCTAAAAGAGTTCTTGTGCCTTGTATTTAGTGAACATTAGTAAAAACAACATAAAATAAAAAAAATATATATATATTTCAATCATAGTTTATTACATGGTGTTGGATAGCTCATTACCTAGTCATCAGCTGGTATTTGATCAATAGCAGCTGGGTCAACTGGGTGAAGTGGTATGATGTTGAGAGACGCAAAATCCCTAATGATCTCAAAATTACAGCACTGATGATATGGTCAGGTCCATCATCCCAATGTATTTTTAGATATTCAATATATACATACATACAAGCTGTCTATATTAGAGTATGACTACATTCTCAAATTAACTGATGCTTGGCTCTTTCATATAAGAAAGTACATGTAACTCAAAAGAGATTATACTGATAGACACTTGGACAAAATGAATTCTACTCTCTGAGCATCAACTACCATAATCCAGTGACAGGAAAGTTCAAGATGACTGGTGCAAGCTTTAGTTGCACATTTTTCACTCAGTTACCTTTCTCTTAGACTGGTTACCATCCAAGGTTTAAGAGTCCAGTCTGTTCTACTATTTAACCCATAAATGGGGAAAAATAGATGGATTCATACCTTTCCCAAGGGTATTTTGCATTCTTAACTGCTAACCATTACATGGCATATAGAATAAGAATGATGATACCATCTGTGCATCTACATACATACAGATATGTGTATATAAATATGTTGAAATATGCTCTCAAAAGTCAGAAACTAATGTCTGTTTTGTTTTTTTTTATCATTTATGCATCTGTCAATTCATAGAACTTACCACAGGATCAAAAGACCTATTCATGCCTATCAATGCTCAATTTATCAGCAAAAGTCAAAGATGATTTTTGTTAATAGTTCAATAATTTTTTAAATTATACCTTGAACAACATGAATGTATTGGGCTTGTCTATTAGCCCAATCTTACCTTCTTCGAGTAATGCACTATTCCAACTTTCATTCGTAAATCTAGCCCTCTGATTGGTTCATTTCTACCAATCAGGTTGCCCGCACTTGCGCTTCGAAGTTTGGGTGCTAAATTGTTCCGGAGCCACCCCACGTGATCATGACCTCTTAAAGGAACCAAAAGCACGTGTGACGACAGAGAGAAGCAGACACAGAAGCCGACGGAGATGCAGACCTGGGCAGATCAGCAGCAGACCATTTTTCAACCGCTTACTCAAGCTTAAAAATGTGACGACTACAATTTGCTAATCAAGACAACAAATCTTTACATACGAACACTCACCACAACACAATACAAACGCATAATATTTAGCAGTCAGACCTTCATTCCTAGAGAGACGCCAAACTGACCCACGCAAGTCAAAACTCTGACCAACCAGGACTTTGCCACACAAAATATCTGACTCAACAATCCACAAGCACACTATCTCTCAGGAACGCTATCCAAGCATCACTTGTGATATTTTAAAAAGTGACATTTTTTCTCACTACTTAATAAGTATTAGTAAACAATCGAATTCTCACACAACTAAAGGTATGCAACTCCTACCAATTATACAAACAAACTTACGTACACACACTAATAACTGAACTAGCACAAAGGACAATTTAGTACGTAACTGGACACTTAGTTTAATTTTGTGAACAAATCTGAATAGCAATTACAAACACCTTCAAACATTCACAATAATATTCTATGCAACCAAATACATCTATTTTCATTTATAGATCAAAGTTCAACTCAATTGTATTCTCAAATTGTATATTAATTGTACATAAATGCATGTTGTTTTATTGAAATCTCATAATCGGTGTTTCTTACTCAATTGCCTTGTGATTGATTCGTTTTGAATGTCTATATTCTATATTGTTGTGGATTAATATGGTGAACATGCCCATAAACTAACCATCTTAATATAAAAACCTTCTGATACCAAAATTCAAACTCATAGCAATCCAAACAAATGGAAGAGACTTCCATTGTTTATCAAAGTAAATGTGTACAAAATATCAATTAAAACAGAATGAAATTGAACAAATAATGTCATAGGGACGTAATGGACGATACCAAAGCATAGATAATATGAACAGGTTGGTTGGTTGTTTAGCAACATATCAACCTCTATGGGTTATTTAATGCCAAAATCTAATTATTTTGATTGATTTGGTTTGTTTTTTTTTGTTTCTCCACATATCAATACCCCAAAATTTAAATACTTTGTATGCAATTATATTTTATTTTTCTTTGGTGATAATAATGCTTTTAGTGATATGTCTTACTAATTAACCCATAGTAAGAAGTAGAAGAGGTAGATTCATACCTTTCCCAAGGGTATTTGCATGTCAGTGAATATAACAAACTGGAATTGGAACTCTGCTGTTCAATTACCAATTCTGAGTCATTATCCATAACATCACCCGCATATCCAATCTTACTACACCTGGTATTCCCAAGTGGTCACCCATCTAGGTACTAACCAAGCTTACCATTGCTTAACTTTGGTGTTCATATGGGAACTGTGTTTCAATGTGATGTTGCCATAAGCCAATATGAACAGATGCTGAAGTGACTTTCACTCAAGGTTTAGTATATGATTAATGCCATATGGTCTGAATCAAGGTTAATGTCAATAAAAAAAAGTTTTGTTCTAAGAGGAATTGATGTATGGACTGGGCTTACCCCAGATGATACCAAAATAGACTTTGCACTCAGTGTCACACCAGAGAAGACATTTGCATCATTGGATTGATCTGAAAGGTAACCTCCTAGTCATTAAGTGTAGATTCACACCTTACAGGATGTTAGTAACTGCCCATGACACATAAACAGGTGGCTAACCCAACTGCTCTTAGAATGTGCACACATGGCACAAGAAAATTACAGGGAGATATATAAATACCCCACCTGAGGGGGGAAAACAAAAAAAATAGAAACAGAGTCTCACAACATTATGAGAAGAAGAATCCATATTTAAAGAAAATCCCCAAAGCCACACACCTACTCACTGATATTAGTTGATAATGTCCAGAGGTGAATAAACAATAATTTTCTTTATGAGAGATTTTGTCTTGTGTTCTTAATAGTCAAGAGGATATGATAACAAAATATAGGGGCTTTTTGGAGTAGCTTCCATCCTTTGTCTTTTAGTATTATCTGATAGGAAACATAAGACTAACACACGCTTATAAGCAAATCAGAAATAATATACAAATGTTATTTTTCAGGTAGGCCAAAAGCATGTTTCATGATAAAGAACTTATATGAGAAAGAAAAAAAAAAAAACAAATTATGTACAACTGAATGAACGAACAATGATATTTTTCCAGAACAATTCATATGTTGTAGTTCGTTAAGCACTTCCAAAGGTGACCTTTTCCTCCTCCAGATGGCCGGCACAATCTTGTTGATCTTTACTTGTGCTGCAAGAATTATTGCTACTCAACCCTTTGGCTGGTCAGGTATTCCTTGTTGTTGACATTAATTGAGAAGAGTCCTGGGGGCTTTGTTTCAGAACTAGAGCAGAGGTCAACTAGTTTGTCACTTTTGAGTGATGACTTCTGAGTGTTGGATGACCTTTGAATAGGAACTATGTTCAATGCCAACGTAATGAAGCAAGTTTAATTTACTTGGACTCTCAACCATTTACATCTCCACATACGCACAAATGGCCATCTTCCTTTTAATAATATATATATATTATATATATATATATATATATATATATATATATATATATATATATATATGTTATAATTTTTAAATATATATGTTATAACATCACTACTAAAATAGCCATTTTGTTTCAACACTTCTGGTGTCTTGTCAAGTGGTGGTATTGCAACTAAAATAAAGAGTTCTTAAAGAATTCAAAGAGTTTTACGTCCTATCAACCTCAATGGGTTATTTAATGCCAACAAAATTTTTATTGCTGGTAATGTCTTTTTTCAAAAAAAATCTATTTCTGGTAATATTTTTTTTCTTCAGAAAATCTATTTCTGGTAATATTTTTCTTCAAAAATGTATAGCAAGTAATTTTTTTTTCAAAAAATGTATAGCCGATATTTTTTTTAAAAAAATGCATTGCTGGTAATAATGCATTGTGGGTAATAATTTTTTCTTCAAAATTTATTACTCGTAATAATTTTTTTACAAAGTACTTCTGGTATTAAAACCTATTTTTACACTTTCACGGTGTTTTGATCCCAGTTTGTGGGTTAACTATTTGCCCATAACTGGGACCCTAACAAGTACTACCAGTCACAGAAATATTTGCTGATACTTTTCACTGTTGTCTTTCATCTCTTAGCCGGTCAATACAACTCATTTCAAAATTTATGATACCCCTCTGCCCAAAATATCTCCAGTTATTTCTATCCAGAGCAACTTAGTATGAGACACATTGACAGCTGAGAGGTTACACTTTAACTTGTCTTCATACCTGAGCCATAGTCATTCACTATGAAGCTTGTTATACATGAAGACCTTAGGTATTCTGTCATTAACCTTGTAACATGACAAGCCCAGCTGATTCCTCTGTTCGCGCTGTTTGTCTCTCATATTATACATATTTTACACACTAAGAGCTGTACTGACTGAACTCCTTACAAAACTGATTATAATAAAAATAAATTTTATTACTGTGACTGCCTGGTCAGATAATATAGTTCTGAGAGATTAATATACTCATTTTCTCATTTACACACTCTACTTTGTTAACTATTATGGTATGTTAGTGACCAAACATTTTTGCCAAGATATCTAGTAAAGAGACAGTGCAAGGAAAATTAAAGTCATGCCTTTTCCAATCCCATCAACAGTCTTAGATGAAATTCTGAACCTGTTTGCTGGTTCCGTTTTCCATTCAGGTTCAGTCATCTTATCACAATAAAATAAATGAATTATTTTATTAATTAAAAAAAAAACACACACACACACAGAGAGAGGGAAGAATCTTTATTTTTACTAATTCTTAGAAATTTCCATTCATTAGAATTCCTCCTCTTCTTACCACATTTTTCAGAATTGAAAAATATTGATCTATCATTTTTTAGAAGGGGAGTCATGTTCATAAGATAAATATGGTGTCACATCCATCTCTGAATTTTTAAAGAGTTATCTGTACTTTGTTTTTATTTACAAACATCTATTACAAATTGAGAAAAAGGAAAATACAAGAAGTACACAATTATCAATGATATAAGCATATTTTCTTGTGATAACTGTTTAAAAAGTCAGGGACCATTTTCAATCTCTTTATATTATGAACAGAACCCCCCTTTTAAAATCAGTACCAAGATGAGTGATCGCTTGTGAATACCAGGTGCTGTAATCTTGGATGCACAGGTGGTGTAATGGATAAGAGCTTAGAATTGGAAATTAGAGAGCCAAGTTTCAATTCCAGTTAGGTTTGTTATACTCACTTGTATGCAAATGCCCTTGAGAAAAGTATGATTCTACTTTTTCCCCCCAGTTGTGGCTTAATTAGTAGGAATTTTATCAGTAAATCATTATTATCTCCCCAAAACATTCTTACAACCTAAAAATATTTTCTGGCTTTAAATAACCTGCAACAGATTGATAAGCTATAAAAACAAATCAATCAATAAACCACTTTCAAAAATGTTAAAAAAAAAAAATTTAAAAAAAAAAAAAAAAAAAAAATATATTTTTTGATTCAGACAAATCTTGTCAGAAGAGAAAGTATCATTTTAATTTACAAAAATTACTTCCCAATAAAATTCACACATTTTTTTACAAATAGACCAGTTAAGTATGTCTATATTTCTGAGATGAGGCATTATGTACACTATTTACATTATTCGGAAAATTGTCCTCATCTTTGTTGCCATATGAAGAAGGCCGGAGCGTACAATGGCTGAAACATTGTAATAAATATGGCGACAAAGATGAGGAAAATAGTCCTAATAATGTAAATAGTGGAGACCAGTTAATTTAAGTAATGCCCAAAACAGTTTCTTTTTTATTCAATAATTGGTTTAATTCTAAAGGAATAGACAAAAATGGATGAATATGTAATAGACTGGAAAAATGTTTGTAGTCCCAATGTGTTCTGCTTAAATAGAATTCACTTTCTTAAGAACACTGTCAGATTGCAAACATTTATCAGGTGTGCAGAAATGTTTCTCGTGAAAAAATAGTTTTCAATTCTGTGTTAAGTCTTTAGTTTTCAAAAAAAAAAAAACAGTGTTGGGAACTTTAACACACACCCAATATTCTGAAAATGTGAAAATTCAAATAGACATTCAACTTCACTATTATTGATACTTGCCATACTTTGCTTAGTCTGGCACAAGGCCACAATTGTAGGGCATCCTGTGAGCATTGAACAAAAAACATTGCTGCTACATATAGTCCTGTGTTCCTATTTTTTACTGTGAGCTATTGATAAAATCCAAAGAATAATCAGCAATATTATTGGTCCTGATCTGGCAGCTCGGCTTCAGTCACTTTCCCACCACATAAGGTTGCCTCTCTTTGCTTTTTCTATAAATACTATCATGGTAATTGTTTGGATTAGCTCTTCGCTATGATACTTAGACTTTATGAATTTAAGCAGAGTACAAGACTGGTATCAAAATCTCATCAATTTACAGTTGAATTGGCTAGATATAACCTTAAGTTCTATGCTAACAGTTTTTCTTGCACTTCTTGCTTGTGGAATTCCCTTCTGGCTCCATGCTTTCCAGCTAACTTTAGTCTTCAACAATTTAAATGCAATGTTAATTGCTATCTACTTTCCTCCTGATTACACTTCTTTTGTCCTCGCTCCTTAGTAATGTTTCTGTTTTCTAACTAATTCATTCACAACCAGTAACCTCATGTGTCTTAGTGGCTTTACTGCCTTGATTGGGGTGAAATCGAATAAATAAAAAAATGAAAAAAAAAGTTGTAATTAATCATCTCTGAGACAAGCTTGTCAATCATTATTTAATAGCAAGGAACCAAAACTGCATTTCTATTTATCAAATACTGATTACAGATCATTCAATTTCTTGAAATCAATCTGGTTTTAAAATTGTCAAATGGACAATGCTATTCATTCTTTTTTTTAAAGAAAAGATAATCATTAAGTTCTGAACATGATGATTTTAATTACTGTATAAACAATGTTCAGGCATATTAATCAATTTTTTGAAATATGCAAACATTTTCAACCTTAGAGAAAACTAGAGATTCATTCTATTCTTAAGTAGAACACTTCATCAACTTTAAAATACATCATGTCCTCAACTGATAAGCATAAATGAGTCGCTATATATTTTAGAGAAGAAATAACAACATTGAGATTGTGTCAGATGTTATCATTGAAAGCATTTCTCTAATATGTATAATGGCAGGCTACTCATTTTCCGAGCAGAACCATCTGCTTGGGCAGCTAGCCAATCCCTGTCGCAGACATTTGCTCAGGCACATTTGAGCCCACTGAGCTCACCTGTGGTTCATATTGCAATTATATTCTATGAACCTTAGTGTTGTAACTTAGGGAAGGTTACTGAATAGAATAATCAAA